GAAGAAGATTTTATTTATAGGTATACCTTGATTCTTTTTTAAATGAAACCTGTTATGATTGATGATTCCATTTCCCACTTTTTAAATTTTTGTTAACATGGTTTTCTAAGAAATTTATGCATTTTCTATGTATCAGTACAGGATTATCCAACATGGTATTTTAAAAATTTTTAAAACTCTGTGTTTCTGACCATTCTTATTTTCAGTGTAAGCATTTGCTCTCATATTTTTTTGTCATGTTGGCTAGAGTATGCTAGTGATATGGCCAGTGAGCTGGCTCATTAATATATTGATTCATTTATTATGTTTTCTATTTGCTTTACCTTACTAAATTTTTACTGAAACTCTTCTATAATTGTTTTTTTTTTAAATGGCCTCAGAAAGCCTATTTTCTTTTATCAATTTGTTATTTCTCTTTTACCCAGTCTAGTAATCTGTTTTTCCATTGGAGTATATAATATTTTTACATTTATTTCAATATTGATATGTTTGCATTCAAATCTATCATCCCTTTGTTTTTTTATCTTCTTTATTTGAACAAATACTTTTTCTACCTTTTTTTTTTTACATGCTTTATGACTGTGTCATTAAAAGTTGATCTAGACAGCCTCCTTGGTGGCACAGGGGTTAAAGGCAGCGCTAACAAGCTATTGCCAGCCACTGCAGCATGAGTTCTATCCTTGGCCAGGGAGCTAACCCACATGGTGCAACATACCTCTCCTCTCTCACCCACTGCTCCCCTCCTGTTCTGCTACCCACTTTGTCTCTGGTGAATCCTCTCACCCCTCTCCTCCCCCAGCCTCTGCACCTCTGGCCTATGCCCCAGTTATTGTATGCATAAATAATCTTTAATAAAAAGTTGATCTAGAGAGTACTTAAATTATCAAAATATATTAATAAAAAAGTAAAATTAGAGTATACCTCCAATTTCTACACTGTCATATATGTCTACAAAGGACATAAACTCATACATTCATATTTTAAACAGTCAGTATTTAATAAGATGTAATGCTGTGTATTATATTTGTCATATTTATTTATATTTCCCCCCCATCATCCTTTATATGTTCTTTTTCCTTTCCCTCCAGCTTCCCCCCCTAATTTTAGAGTCCTCAGGAAGTTTATTGGTGTCCACTGGCTTTTGAAAGTTTTATACTATTTCTAGTTTTCCAGTATCTTTATTTTTCTCACTTATTTTTACACATAATTTTCTGAAATTGCCTTGATTTTGTTGAAAATGGCTGTATTTCAACTTTTCTTATGGTTGTATAGTAGTCCATGTACTAACTATTACAAATAATGCTGCTATGCACATCGTCGTACATATGTTATGGTGTTGGTTTCACATTCTTTGAATATTTCCCATGAGTAGAACTACCGCTTTTATGGTAGTTCCATTTTTAGTTTAAGGTAAATCCAGATTGCTTACTACAGTGGTTCTACGAGTTTCTATTTCCACCAAGAGTGTAATGCCCTTTTTCATTGCACACTTTCCTACACTCGTGGTTGGAGGTCTTTTTAATGTGAGACAAACTCACTTGGCATCTCTTTGTGATTTTAATCTGCATCTCTCTTATTAGAAGAAATAATGAACATTGTTACATACACCTTTTTACCTTTTGGAGATCCTCTTTGGTAAATTGTCTATTCATATCTGCTGTTCATTTATTAAACAGGTTGTTCATATTATATATTGTGTCAATGTTTCCATTCAATAGGGCGTCTTTTTAATAGCTTTGCATTTTCTTTTCCTTTATAAAAGTTTTTAAACTTGAAGTAATCACAATTTTGTTTTTGTTTTTGTTTTTGTTCTATTGTATTCTGTTTGTTTTGTCCTCTGGCCATAGAGTTTAAGTAACCAAAAATGTCTTTATCAGTGAGATCAGGGACTCTATCACCAATGTTTTCTTCTATGAATTTGTTTTCTTCTATGAATTGTTGCAGGTCTTTTATCTAAATATTTACTCCATTTGGAGTTTATTTTTGTATATTGAGTTAGTTGAGTGATACAGTATAATTTGTTATGTATGCTTTCTTATTTCCCCAGCATCTTTTATTATAGACTATACTTTCCCCCATTTTATAGTTATATCTACTTTATCATAGATTAGGTACTGACATATTTGTGGTTTTAGTTCTGAGCTTTTGATTGTATTTCATTGTTCCATATATCTATGGAACAATGCCACTGCCATATTGTTTTTAGTACTGTTGCTTTATAGTAAAATTTGAAGTCAGGTGATGTGATACCTCCATTTCACTCCTTTTTTCTCAGTATTAGTTTTGCAATTTGAGGTCTTTGGTGTTACCATATAAATTTTAATATTTTTGTTCAATTTTTTAAAAAATATGATATTTTGGAGATTTTGTGACTAGCATTCAGTCGTTGGGCCACTTCCACCTGCAAAAAGAGACTGAGAAATGTGGACTTACATGTGCTGGGAAGAACAACTTGGTGTAGTGTCCAACTAGTCTCTATCATAATTAACATTGTTATGGCCTACCTCAGTTTCACTTCATCTCCTTTATATGAAAAGAATTGGATATTTTGAGGCACCAAGATGGATCGTTGCTGCCTCTCTGTGATGCCATAACCATTTCTGGCCAGACTATTCTGTCACCTTGTGTAGGAATTGGACCTTTAAGAGGTCAAACAAGACCTTGTCAGTTGTAATAGCAAGAAGCCAGAAAGAAACAGACAAACATGCTTATTTGTCCTAAAATTTTGCTTTTCAATTTGCATTAGGTACTTCTCTAAGACAGGTATAAAACAGAATTAAGGCAACTCAAAGCAGTTATGAATTTTCTGTGGTCAAGGTGAAATCCTGACTAGGAAATTTCATAATGCATGCAAAGGAGCAATGAGTATAAGAACCCTGATGCCCCAGACAAGTCAAATGACATGAGGCAAGTTGTCTTGACATAGATTTCAGGATCAGAAGCCATTTCATTATAAACCCAGTAACCTGGGGCTTCCTGATCAACCCACTCAGTCTCCCTGGTATGTCTGTCATCTACAAGGTCTGAAAATTATTGAAGATCTGTAACAGTAAAATAGAAATATGCAAGAAATAGGTGTTTAGTCACTTAAATTTTTGGAGTAGAGGAAAGAGGGATATAAATTCAAAACCTTTTTGGTGTACTGCCATGGCTTTGAAAACCATCTTGCTTAGGAACAAGCTTCCCAATGGCCATTAGGGCAGGAATATGAGTCTGCTTTTCCTGATGAGGTGTCTATGCTGGAATATTACTGCTTTCAGTGATGACTTTCCTGTAATAAAATGGATTTACCTTTGCTTCAGTGATAAAGATAATCCAGTTGGGGGGGGGGTTGAAAATAACTGTTATATTTTGTTTTATATATACCATTCCCTTTAAGCCACCACAAATTATAGGCAGTTTGTAGGAATAAAATCCAATCATGTTTATACCTATCATCTAAAGATGTCTAATCAGTTTAAGTGATATTCTTAATCAAAAATTGAAAAATCAACTTTCCCTTTAGATGAAATCAGCCTCACTGAAATTGAGAACTGGTTATCCTTATATCTATGCAGATGAAATATTTGATGGCATTGCCTCTCAAATACATTTGCAACAACCGAGGGCCTGGACATGAAGTCAAATGTAGATGATATTAAAGGATATAGTAAGGCAATTTTGTTATTATTGCTGTAAGTTTTCTGTTCTGATTGCTGCATAGTCATTCCAATTCATCAGTTCACAATAATAAAGACAGGCTAAAAGAGCAAATCAATAGGCCTTGGCCAATCCGGGTATATCGAAAAGATTTCAGTTTGCTTTAGCTTTGTTCTGAGGAGTACACACAGTACTACTCACCTAGTAGAAACATAATAAATATTTGATTTTGATGGCCATAACTGGAAAAGTAGAAAAAATAATGAACAGAAACCAAATTTTCAGCAAGGCTAACATATTCTGCCTTTTAAAACAGGAATATGATTTGTCTCTGAAATTCACTTTCACCCCCAAAGTCAAGATACCACAAAATTAGCATAATCATCAACACTGTTCAGCACTTATTCACAGAACAATTTTAGATATATTTGTAAGTTAAAATGAATTTCTAGCTTGCTGAGCCATGTGATCTGTCATATTAGTCTAGATGTCAGATGCCTAAACTTTCTCTCTGAGAAAGTATTTACAGTCTTTGCTGAAGAAGTCACAAGAAGTCATAAAGAACATATGTGGGAGATGACTGCTAAATTAGTGAATTATATTTTAAGAAAAATATCTATGCCTATTAGATTATATTTGCAGATTAAAGTGATTATTTACAAAACTCATTTTCTCTAAAGAAATAGTTTTTTATGGAAACATGGCAAGCTGTCAAATGAGTGGAATGTCTTATTCTCATCCTGACTTATTAGTATAATTTTTCCCTTCAAGATAGACAGCAAAAATATCCAGGGCAGCTATAATTGGCTATGAAATAAGACAGGCGCCTCTGGCAATTGAGGTGAAGTAGGTTGACTGTTGAATTGTAAAGATTCTATTGTTCTTTGTTAGCTCTTGTCCCTCCTGCCTCCTCTACAGGGATGAGGTTCACCAATAATTTCATAGCGTAAAGCTCCATGGTACTCTGAACTTGCATTTGAGCTAAGTTTCTGAATAAACTTGGGAAAGGACTTCATCAGTTTCCTCATTTACAAACCTGAGATAATACCAACCTCTTTGTTGAACTGGCTACAGTGAATTTAATATAGTTTATATAATGTATCTGGAAATAAATGCTAAATAAAAGGTAGTGATGATGACGATGATGATGAGTTGCAGTCTTCTGGGAAATAGCAATTTAGCCTAATTTGAATTGCATAGTGAATGAACCTCACCCTCCCTGCAAGGATATGACTGTTTATTCCGTGGTCAAAATATTAAATGTCAATTTTAAGCCCAGAGTAAAATTTTATAACCAGCTATCAACTCTAGAAAACGAAGGTTGATAATGGAAGTGCTGACAAATCTTTTGATGTTTTCAGGAATGTAATGGGCTTCTTAAGGAACAGGAGTTGCAAGGTAAGCTGTTTACTCTTTTCTGCTAAGGAGGCAATTATGCAGGCTGGTTGGAGAAGTTTATAATATGATTAAACAGTCAACATTAAATCAAATGGTGATTGAATCCCCAAGATGCATTTTACCTTCACAGCATTTTTGAGTTACGGGATTGTATTTTCAAATGTTTTTATGTTGGACAATGGGGAAGAAAATGCCAATGTTTTTTAAAGTGTTAAAATGAAGGTAGAGTGATGGAAAGATGAGTGTTTAAAAACATATATCCAAATTTTAATGTTAACTAAATGAAAAAAGCCTCTATTTTCATTTTAAAAATCTTTAGCTACATTCTAGATAACTAGTTCAAAAAATCTACTGGATCTTTTTAGTGTTAATTTGCATCACAGTTATATTTGATACACTGCAATACAATTTGTGCTAACAGATGTTGTTAGCAAAGCTTACACTATAATCTGTTATAATTCAATTTGCAATATATTTCTGATATATTAGATATGCACAGTTTCAGAAACAGTAAAATAAATATTATGTGGGGGAACACTATATAAACCTTAGAAGACAAAATGCTATTAAATATTTACCAGTCTGTAAATAATATTTTATATGTAATATTTGAAGTGATTTATTTACTATGTGTCTGCGTGGAACAAATATCTATAGTTTTCTACCTTCTGATGTACATTAAAAATATAAAGCAACCTTACCAAATTTATTTTAAAAAAATTAAAAAATATAAGTGTATTCAAAAATGTTGCAAACAAAATTATTTTATGTGATGGAGATGGTCATATTGCATTACTAAGCCTTATTTAAGCTAGTATGATTCAGAAGACTGAAGAAAACATGATGGGAGAACATGGTAAGTTTTACACTTTTATGCATTCATAAAAGTAAAATTACTGTTAGAAGGACAAGAGAAAGTTTATGTAAAAGGTAATATAGAGCAATGTTAAGTATGGCATATTACATAACCTGATTTAAAACCCCTGCTATCTCTGAACTACTTTCATGATCTTGGATAGGTTACTTAAACTCTTGGTCTCACTTTCCTAGCCTGTAAAATGGGAGATTTATGATAGTCCTTCTTGAAACTGTGCCTGGGGAAACAAATAGTGATATTGAATGATGTTGAATTGTTTGATCTATGTCTGCATCTACTTGAAAGCTAAGGTCTCATGGGGTTTGTTTTCCCAAAATGTCAAATAATGTTTTATATTATTAATAGACACTAATAATAACACTTTTTTCGGTGGTGGATTTGACCTAGAAGAGTATTGTGTATGTTTGTTTTATACCAGTTCCCACTTTATTTTGAACAGTGTACTCAAGCATGGTAGGCATTAGAGCAGGCTCACAGGTTACACGCATCATCCTGTGGATGACTTGCTGAGAACAGGTTGCTAGGCCCCATCACCAGAGATGCTGTGGCCAGAGAAGTCATAATTTAGTTGCAAGTTCCCTAGTGATGCTGATACTGTTCCTTTGTCAACCACACTGCCCAAGAGGATAATTTGGAGAGAGAAGGAACCATTTGAATATAAAAATTATTTTTTTTCTTTACATGGGGAAAATGTGACAATGCAGTTTGTGCTAACTCCAACATGGCTAGTTGATATACAGAGGATATAAATGGCATTACAGAGGAACAGAATGTCTTCTCATAAAGTGATGTGTTCTAAGAGTTGGACTATCCTTCTTAGGAAGTCCCTTTTGGCAGGTTAGTGTAGTCTGGAAACATTTTATGCCCATTCAGTTAGGGAAAATGCTCAGTCTATTTGTAGCAGAAGATAACTAATGGAAAATAGTTGGGTAAATGGCCAAGAGACTCATTGGTCCACTAGCCTTTCATTGGCTGGGTAACACTACTACACTTCCACCTTAAACAAGATGTGGACATGTCTCCCACCTCCAGGGTATTTGACTAGGGGAGGCTCATGATAGTAGTGTTTAGGAAGGTTAATTCTGTAATGGAATAGAAAGAATACAGATCAGTCCAGTCTGGGGAAGAGGGTATGGTTACAGAACTCTTGTGAATGATAGCAGAAGTGAAAGAGTGAAAGAAAATGGCATCTGAAGCAAGTTTTTTATGGACTCTATTTTGAATTAAGTTTCTGACTAAACCATTGTGGCTTGGATTCAGGAATAGTTTTTTTTAATTTAATTTTATTTTAAATCTCCGTACCAACCTAAAAACAAAAATTAGCACTAATCTTCCTATCTCAAATAAAAATCCACTCTACCTTCCATCAGCTCAATTGGGATGTCTCCAAAGTTCTCTTTGGACTATCACTTTATCATTTTTTCTTCTCCCTCCAGCTTCCAAATTCTCTCCTCTTTCTTTTCCATACACCACCATGTAAAACTTGTGGATACAAGGAAGCAGGGTGAAGACAAATGTTATATGACTATTATTTTTTATTTGCTTGTTTCACTTTATCTCAACTGAGCAGCAGACAATAAGAATGTACTATAAATTGGAAGAAATGAAGAGAATGTCATTTTGATAGAGCTCTCTCCAGACCCCATTCCAGTGTTTTTCCTACTATCTGTTATTTAGAGAAAGGAAAGCAGAACTCTGTGATCACAGATAAAATAAGCTCTGGGAGTGGATATGAAAAAAGGAACAGATATCTGAGATATAGCAAGGAGAGAGAAAAATGCTGAGTATGGGTATCTGGCATACCTATCCTATAACTTGGCCAGTATGTAGGAGGACACAGAGAAGTTAAGAAGTAAGGTCACCAATCATGTTGCTTTATCCAGAGCATTCCAGCTGTTACTAAAATGGTAGAAGCAGTTCCAGAATGTAATATCTCTTTATGTACTTATTCCTGTTGACCACAGCAAGGTAAAGATAAAACTATACAGTGGCATCGATTCTTTGGTTTATAAAAGGTAAGGTATATTGTGTAATGTGTTACATGTTTGGCACTAAACTGCTTTTGTTGCCAATAAGCTGTATGACACCGAGTGCGAAAACAAACATTTCAAATAAGAAAGGCAAGAAATTGTCACTAGAGCATCAACCTTTACACAGAGAAGTTAAACACCAAAACTACTGCATCCATAGGATCAAAGCATTTAATTGGAGACCTTTAGTCTACCTAAATTTGGGAAATCATTTTATGATGAACACAGCAGCTAGTATCGATCTATGTACCATAAAACAACGTCTAAATGACAAAGCTGTCTGCAAATGTCCCCTTCACTTTTGTGTGAGATATTTTTAGGGGTGACTCTCCATGACACATAATGACAGCTGATATCTTGCTACTGTTTAGGAGTCTTTAGTATGTTGATACAGAGTCCATTTTATGCTTCTTGAAATGCAGCATTTAAAAAAGCACCATCCAATAAAATGTGTGCATTATTTTTGCCATGTGTTTTCAAGGTAAATATATTGCAAAACATTTTCTTTATTATTAATAAGAAAATACTTATTTTGCCACTGCTATGGATTTAGGTGGTTGTTTTTAAATCTTAATTGCAAAGTGACATCCTGGAAATTTTTAGAGCTATTAGGAAAGCAATGAGATCATTAATCATACATTCATATGGAATTTTAAAAATATGGTAATTTTCTGAGTGGTAGAAAAAGGGATTTGAATGGAAAGAAGAGTAGTGTTCTATCTGGAGTGGGGACTGGAATGACAAATGTCAATGGCAGTTATGGAAATAGTAGCTACAATTTTAGCAGCCTTTGGAGGCTTGAAGGCTGGAGAGTAGGTGAGGAAATCCATGAAAATGTTGTCATTTGCCTAGGGGGCCTTGCTCTTTACAGGACAACCCACCACACTCCTCTTTAGGATATAAAGCCCCTCCTCCCTCTTTCTTAGCCCTGTTCAGGAGATGGAACATGTGAGTGAGGAAAGTAGTTTAGTTCATATCTGATCATGTAGAATAGCAGGACTATAACTATTCCAGCTATGAGTTTATATTATTCAAATGTTCTCCTTGGCAAATGTACAAAAACAAGTAGGCAAATGATCTTATGCAGAAATGGGAGTTAACAAATAATTTATTAGCACTCAGAATAACCAATGTGCCTGTCCTATTGTGTCCAGTGAACCACTGTTGCTGACAGGAGTATTTGTTTCTGGCACACTAAGTAGAACTATAAAATGCAGGTTGTAAGTGAAAGTCAAGCAGAGTTGACATACTATTTTTCAGTTAAAAATCTGAATCCATTAGGATGGCCTGAGAACTACCATTCAGATATTATTCCTGTTGAAAAATGTTTTGAATTCCAGGCAATTGATATGCAGATGAACTTCTAGTACATTCAAATTAGGACCCAAATTGTGCAAAATAGTATAAAGAAGTGTAAGAACCTACCAAAGACATTATTACTTGAATACATCACAGTTCAATAAGACCATGGCCGTGCATCTAGAGATAATCTTCTGAAAGAGACCAGTACATGCTTAATCATTTACCTACATTCCATATTAGCGCTCCTTAAGTTTATCCATATCAAGGCTTCTTTCAAGTTCCTATTGATACTCTTATCTAGTATGCTTAATTAAACACACTATTGACAAAACCTGGATCTTTATTTAATCTAGCCTGGAAGTAAGCAACACTTTCAATTACTAATGGAGATCAGCCAAGGCATGAAAACAGAAACCTAGGGTGACCAGTCAGCTAAGCTGATAATTTGGCTTGTGTTACATGTATGCACTATGCTAAACCCTAACAACGATTCTCTCTTTAATACTTCAAATAATCCCATGATATGAGTATTATTTTTATTCCCATTAACAGTTAGATGACCACAGATAATAATTTCCAATGTTAGTAAGCTGCAAAACCAAGATTCAGATCCAGGCATTTCAAGAGCTGGGCTCTAAACTCGTCTATGTTGCTAACTATTTACATCTGTCGTAGAGGTGATATGTTCATTTTGGTCAATGGATTTTGCATCGTAGTTGAGTAGTCAGTCTAAAACATCAGAAATTACTATTTTCCCTAAATAATGTAAATCGTCAAGGATTGATGCATCT